AAGCTATGTCTTTTATTCCAAGGTCCCCAGATTTCTTTTGCATAATTAAAAAATGCAAATGTCAAAGTATTTTTAATCCATACAGAATTAATCAGTCACATCACAACTCTTCGGCATATGGTGGCCTGAGAAGATAGGTCAGACCTGAAGTCCGCAGACTGCTATGTCCAACGTGCTACAGAAACAGAACCAGCACCAGCAGGAATTTTAGCAGAGACAAGGCTATCTGGACAGTGCCCAGGATGTCGTATTTACTATTTGTTTCTTGAGGTTGTTACTAGGGACCTTATCTTGGTGTAATGCATAAACAGCTAGAGAAGAAACAGATAAAGAAGATGGTATCTGCAGCATATAATGTAGATGTTGTAATGCAGCAGATCATTTTGGCTTCCAGAACAAAAAAAGCCACTGCTGTTGAGTTGATCCCAACTCATAATGACCCTACACAAATGGGTAGAATGGCCTTATAGAGTTTCTGAGTCTATAAATCTTTACAGAAACACACTGCCTCGTCCTTTTTCCACTGAGAGGCTGGTACAGTCAAACCACTGATTTTGGGTTAGCTTCATCCATTGCACTACCAGGGCTTCTCCCTATTTACTTACCTAAAAGGAAAACAACAATAAGCCAGTGTTACTAATTGGAGAAACTCTTATATTTTGGACTCCATAACAAATTGTGAAGGCATCACTGGGCTGTATCTCTTCAGGACAACAAACTATTCAAGCTCAGTAAGGGTTAGATAGACCCTCTAGACCAAGAGTTTTATTTCTGCTTCCCAACCCTTGTCATAAGATGTAAGTGAATGCCCCAGTGCAGTGGGGACCTTTCGAGCCAGAACTAACTCACAGCTGATCCTCCAGCAGGTTTTCATGGGCAGTTAGTTGTATGGGAGGAGATTCCTCATCCTTCTTTCACAGAGCAGCTGCTGGATTCAAGCCACTTCAGGGTTTCAGTACAGCTTCTTACCACTGAGCTTGTTAGGCACTTTAATTTGCCCCAGCAGTGAAGCCTGCTAATAGAAAGGTTGGCAGGTTTAATCTATCAGCACTTCTCTATGAGGACAAGACAGATGGCTGTCTCTGTTCTGATTCGCGGCCTTGGAAGCCCAATAGAAGATCACCAAGAGTCAGAATTGAATCAATGGCAGTTGTGTATGCATTTAAATGAAGCCAACTAGACCCTATTCTCAAAGTATAGTCCATGTAGCACCTGCAGTTCTTTCTTTCTACATATATGTGGATTTTTGGAGCCTGCACTGTTATAATGTACCAACACAGAGCTGACCCTCCAACAAGTTTTCATAGCTAGTAAAGTGCACGAGAGGAGATTGTCTATCTTTCTCTCACACAGCAGCTGGTGGATTCAAACCATGTTCCTTTGGGTGGGCAACACCATTCCTTACCACTAAGCCACCAGAGATTCCTTACTGAATCTGAATATGTAAATTAGGGGAGTCTCAGGAGTCAACATCTTTAGCTCATATGCTGAATGGTACTTCTGTCACACAGTGTGTGTGAGGATCAGTGTTGCCAAGTTTCTTTTTCTACTGTAAGGACATGATTGGGTTAGCATCCCTGTTCCTGTAACACATGTAAGACGGGCTCCAGTGCTGACCTGCAGAGAAGCTTGTTGCAGCATCTAGCGTGAGTTGGTATTTTCAGCAGTTTCTGCAAAGTGCATTTCAGTAGTGGAATCAGAAATTTCAGAAGCTTAATTGTATTAGTTCTGTGTCTCGGACAGCAGAGGTTGCAGATAATTCTGTATGGCAAAGATCTGAATCCCATATAATTCAAGGTCACATCATGTTTGTCTACCTTGGGATTCTCCAGAGTATTTCATCTGATGATCCCTTCCTCAATCTTGTCAAGAAAAGGAAGACCCAGAAAAACCCCTAATCAAGCAAGTATGCAAACCAAACCAATTCTCTTCATTCAGTTGGACTAAGTATTAATGCTGATATCTTAAACAGTCTTGCTTTTTCCATATGGACTGTTTACTCAGAAAACCGTCTCTCGAGTTCTCTTCCATGTGTAAGTCATGACTTAGTGACTCCCCATTACCAGTTATATTGTCTCACTCATCCATCTGATTGACTTAGGTGATACCTTTATTTTATCCCTCACAAAAAGAAAAAAAAAAATAATGAGCAACTTCATGTTGGCAGTGAATCTAAATATAAGTTGATAGGAGTATGTAGGGATTAGTCACTGTTGCTAATAAATATTTAAACTTTCCTTTAACTTCCTTGGCAGTTGAACCAACTTTAGAAGTCTAAATGTGAATTTATTGGCTGAGTATAGACAAACTCGAGAAAACAGAACTGAGCAGTTGCAATAGTTTCATCTCTGGAAGCCAGGATTTCACCTTCAGACTGCCAACTGTTGTTCCCAAAGGATGCTTGACGGTCTTCCAGTCTTTGGAAGTTATCATCAATCATGAAAACCACTGCAGCCTGTTTTCCAGCTTCAATCCTAAAATGGGTTTGCTGGTCTCAGACAAGTCAATTGGCTTTCTCTGGAGCATAGGAAAAAGGCAAGAAAATACAGAGTGGTGAAACAGTGGTCTTGCTGCCTGCTCAGATTTGGCAACTAGTGCAGAAGTGAATTCAAGAACTTGTTTTATACTTTAGAAAACATTGAGGTCACCAGAATTTAAAATCAAGAATGCAGTTTGACTTCTCTTCCTGTGCGATTAAGCTCTCTTATCAGTCACAGATAGTAGGGGATCAGATTTCATCAATGGTTTGAACTCCATGAACTTGATAATTATGAGGTTAAAACTATCTATGAGACATGAAAATAATAGAGAAATATTTCTGGTTAGACTTGTAAAACACTTTGTCAGTCAAGTCTCTTACAAGCCCCACATTAAAAGCTGTGAAGTGTACAAGGAACAAAAGAAGACACAGCTGGAAAGACGACATTGAGATTAATGATTGTTCACTCTTCTGTCTCCATGTCTTAGGCATTTAACCACTTTCCTGCCTTCTCCATCACAGTTTCACACCGAGAGTAAGGGCTCCATCCAGACTGGGCACTACATCTATAGACTGAGCATTAGCTATTATGGAAAGTTTATATGTCAGAATAAATGCTGTATTTAATTTTTAAAAACCAATGGGAACCACCACCTGCCAGACTCAAAAGTGTGGAGAGGAAGTTCTGAAACTGTGTTTTCATGTTGTCAAGCAGCACATTTCAGACTTGTTCATCTTTGATGTTTTCAGATGATTCATTCAAAAGACTTGTCAGAAGAACAACAAAGAGTTCGCAAGCTTTTATTGGCTGGGAAAATAATAAAAAATAATCTGCAGGATATTCACAAAGCAATAATAAAACTCATAGGGTGATGATAACAGGGACCCAAGAGATTAATAAGGAAATAGTACCACTTATTTTGGAGAACATTATTACTGTGGTCCTGTACGTACATACACACACACTTTCGGTTTGATGATTTGAAGCGATTAGAACCTCTCAAAATATATGGGAGTCTATGTAGACAGATGGTGACTGGGTGGCACAGTTAAGATCTTGACTACTGGCCAAAAGATTGGCAATCTGAGCCCATCCAAAGGCACCTCAGCAGACTAGCTTGACAATCTTCCCAAAGTCTCAATCCTGATTATACTCTGGGAGCATTTCCACCCTGCACACTTGGGGTTAGAATCAATTCAATGACAACAGTATTTGGATAGATGGTAGGTAGAGAATTGTATACCTTTGCCTATGATGGACTTTCCAAGCTCCACTTTCTAAATGACATCCCAAGAAGGATTACACAGCCAACAAAATCCAGACCCACTTTCTGAGTCACCAGGGCAATGTATTTCCCACAAGATCTGATCTTCCTCATAATAAGTTTTCCATTCTTCTAGGGATTGGATAGTAGGTGTATAAGCCTTGGTTCCTATCCTTAAGAGGTGCGAAATTTTTCTGGACAGACAATGGAGCTGATATACTTGCATAGCTTTCCTGTTAAGGAAAGGAACCAAAAGTGCTGTGAGATTCGCATCTATTTCATTTTTGTCATTGATCTGTATTACTCTTTCAAAAGCATTGTTTTAAAAATGTGTGTGGTGTTCTAGAGGAGGAGCTTTGGGATAAAATACATGGTTTATTGTCATAATACATGGCTGGAAACAGAAGCCAGATAATCTAGAATAATCTAGACTCTCATCTCACGTGCCCCATCAGCCAGCTGAAAGACTTCAGATAAATCACTTATCTTCTTCTAGTGTCAGTTTCTTCATTGGTGAAATGTGTATGTGTAAAATATTACCTTTTGTACTTTTGTTATAGGCTTCTAGGAGAATAAAATAAAATGCAATGCTGTACAAACAGAAGGAAACATTAACGAAATGGTTAAATCAAACTGCTACCCGAACTTATTTTAAAAATGCTTTTCATGTAAGCTCTGAGAGTTGCATTATGTATAAAGACCCTCTGATGACTCATAAATGGGATCTTCATATAATGACAATATGAAAATAATATTACACACTGGTGAGGTTGTGTTTTATGGTGTTAACTCACTTGATTATTACAACTTTGATATTTCGAGCAAAAGCGATTTTTCTCTCTAGTTGGTATATAAAGAAACCACAGCTCGGATGCCTTAAGTGTCTTAATCTAGGGATGTAGAGGAGCTAAGACTAGACTTTGATATTTCTGGCTTCATATGTAACGTCCTTTCAAAAAAAAATTCCCTGTTAGCACTTTGCCATATTACAGAAAGTGAATGAGGCTTTTAAAAAACAACATTCAAGAGAATATCTAAAAATAATACCCTCTTGGATAAGTCTTCTCTAAGACTTAATCATAAGTGAATCAAATGAAAACAAGCTTTAAATGCTCAGATATTGTTTTTTAAACTTCATTTCTTGTTAAGCAGCATCATTTCACAGCAAGCAGATATTCATTTTCATTATTGGCAACTGTAAATCACAGATTATAATTCTGAAGGACGTTCATTGTTTCCCCTTCTCTCTCTCTCAGCAGCAGATCGACTCCCAGCAATCATGATCGGATACAGCGACTGAGGCAGGAATTTCAACAAGCAAAACAGGATGAAGATGTAGAAGATCGGCGACGTACATATAGCTTTGAACAACCCTGGGTGAGTTTTTGGCTGTTCGGCTCAATAAATAGTCTTAGAACTTGGCAGCAGCATTGGCCGCTAAGCTATGATCTCAGTTCTCTGTGAAAAGGAGACAAGGTGGAGCCAGATCCCTTTGACCTTTAACTTATTGACCTTTGCCTTATTTCCATCTGGGTTTCATCATTGCTAATTTTATTTTATAGCTTGTTGCGCCATCTGTCCATTGCATAATTGAATTCATTGCCTTATGATAAGTCATAGGAAAAAGCAATTTTTGCTCCATTTTTTGCATTTAGTAAATAATTTTTCTATACATATGTTTTTCTTTCAATAATAAAGAGCCAAAAATAAATTAGTTGAACAAATATCGGGTGATGGTGGTTGTTAGGTGCCATCAAGTCAAGTATGACTCATAGCGATTCTATGAACAATAGATCAGAATCCTATCCTATCCTGTACCACTATTCAGCAATCTTTGTTATTTTATTCTTTTTGTGTATATATTACAACCTTCTGATTTATCTACCAATATCCCTATGCTTGCCAGAGTGATCTTTTAGAGGAAAACTTTGAATGACTTCTCCCTGTCCAAAATATCAAGTTGAAAGTTCACAGTACAGCATACCCATATTGCAGAACCTAGCCCAGACTTGGGTTTTGACCTTGTGTTTTGCACTAGAAGTGATGGCATATCTGTGAGTAAGATGCCTTGGCATAGCTCTGGGGTTCTGAGTTGATGAGAGTTTTGAAGAACCTGTGTGAGAAATTAATAATAGCCGCTTAGCTTATGGATAATAAACTACTTATGGTATAGAGCCTACCTGAGGGTAGTGTGAATTTCAGTAAGTCCAATCAACATGGTAATAAGACGATGGCCAATACTGCTTAGAGGACTGACTAGGAAACAAATGAAAGGGAAAATTTAAAGTTGGATTCAGTGTTGGAATTGAGAAAATGAAAGGAAATCCAGGAAGGCACCATGGTCCATGTCCTGGTGCAGTCACTCAGTGTGAGGGTGGCAAGTGCAGCTCCAGGAAGGATTATTCTGATAGTCTGCACATATGAAGAGAGATAAGTGCTTTAAGGGTAAATAAGATGACAAAAGACAAGTTAGGTAAAATATGGGTAGCGGCAGAGGCTTAGGGCATAGTGATGAATTTGTTTTTTTGAGAGCTGAGTTGTTAGAAGTGGCCCGTTCTAAATGATGTCAAAGCCCAAGATACGGCTTTTGAGTACTGAAGTAGAGATTAGTGTTCAAAAATGGCGAATCAGTTTTGAATGTTGCATATCTACTGTGTTTTCCAGAAATAAGATGTGTGTGCCTTCTACATTTTGTTCTGTTTCATTTGTTGCCAATCATCCTCATGTCCTCTTAGTCTTTGTTGGTTTTTTGTTGTTTGTTTTTTTTTTGTTTTTTTTTTTGCTAATCATGCCCATCCCTTCTTACCTGTTCTCTTTGGGCCGTAAAGGTATTTTGTAATTTTTCTTTTATGTGTTGCTATAAAAAAAAAATTAACATAGAGCAGTCATGCAAATACCTGGGATGTGTGGTTAGCAAAGCAAAATATGTAGACTGCCACTGTTATTTGCATAACGTGGTAATTACATGAGATCATTTGAAAGAGTTGAAGCAGAAGAAAAATATAAGAAAATGCTTGAATAAAAAAAAATTATTTCTTTGGTTCTCCAATGAAAGAAACTCTGTTAAAAGAGAACTAAGAGGTTGATCATGATGGAGAGAAGGGGAGATAAATGGACAAATGTAGGCTAAACCTTTAAGACTGAAAGTGTGGAGGAGGCAGCTATAATGAGAAGCGTAGACCAACTATGCAAGGGACTTGGATTTCTGGACCTCAGTTTTCTTCTAAATCAAGAGTCTTAGAGTAAATAATTGATCATTATTTACTAAGCTCTTCATTGAAATGGGAGCTCTGATGGCTTAGTGGTATGGAGCTGTGTTGCCAACCCAAAGGCATGCATTTCAAATCCACTGGCAACTCCATGGGAGAAAGATGGGCATTCTCCTCCCATATGATTCTACTTCCTCTGAAAATCTGGTGGAGGGTCAGCTGAGTCAATTCTTCCTCAATGACAATGAACATCAACATTGTTAAAATTTAAGAGGCTACTAAATTACTAAAATAGTAAGTTCTTCTGGTTGAATACAGAAACTTCCATGTGCACATTTAAGCATTGCTTTACATTTGACCTTCTCAAGCATGGTCCTCCGATCAGCTCCTTGACCTTCACCCTGGAAATTTTTATAAATACAGTATTGGACCTGGCCTCTGACCTACTGAGTTTGAATTTCTGAGTGAGGGTCCCAGAAATCTGAGTTGTAACACGTCCTCCAATTTTTCTTAGAAAATCAGGGAAGTTACTTAACTTTGAGAAGTCTAGATGACCTATATGGTCCTGCATGATCCGCAAACTTGCTATGCCCATGGCAACTCTACGAAGTAAGAAGCTTAGCAAGGTCATGATGTCATATTCAGTGGTCAAGTTGGAATTTGAGAAAGGTGAATTCTATGGCTGAAAAGGGAAAGAAAAATGGGTGAAGGAGTACTAATTGAAATTGCTTTACCTTAGCTTAGGTGAGGTGGACAGGACTTCAGACAAGTAATTGGCATTATAAGGCTAATGTCTTGAGGATAAAAACCCTTAGTCTGAATATGGAAGCTTATGAAATGAGTTCAGTAACCTAACATCTAAGAAAAGCTCTCTAGTTGTATTCAATAATACTACTTACTAATGTAATTGTTTTAAAATAAAGATTTAGTTACTGTTTGTAGAAGATCAAGTATATGGAGTAATTGCTGAGTAACAACTTGACCAAAATCAAACCAAGCCATGAAATCAATTCTAACCCATAATGATGCTGTAAGATACGGTAGAACTTCCCCATAGATTTTCCAAGATATAGACTGTATCTTTTTTCATGGAGTGGCTGATAGATTCAGTTGGTGGTGTTGACCTTTAGGCTAACCACTGTCCTACAAGGGCTCCTTAGCAACATCAGAGAATTACCTTAATTTGTTTATACTGTTTGCATAATTGACTCATCCCTACCCATGAGATTTCTTAAAGCAGGTTTATTTTATATTGTGTGGTAAATATTTTGAACTGCATGTATATGAACAAAGGGACCAAAAAGATAATAAGATAATGTCTAACTGAAGGAGAAAGCAGCAGTGGTGTGTACACACACACACACACACACACACAGAATTTCAACCTCGCAACACCTTTCAGTGGGCTCTCTTTCCCATCGTTTACACCATAACATATGACATCATGCCATTTCACTTCTGGGAATCTGATTTTCAAACCAGTCTCTTCACAAAATGTACCCACTAATTAACTGGTTAATGCATCAAATTTATCGAATGCTGCTCTAGTCTCTTTCTATTTGATGCAGGAGATACAGGTGGAGAAGAAATACTCTTAGAGCTCTACAGTCTACCTGAGAAAAAGTAAAGGGATATTGCACAGTTTAGACATGGTAGGATAGGTGGTACAGATGGTTAAGCATTGAAACGTAAACCTTGTTGGTTCAGACCCATTCAGAGGCTCCTTGATAGTGAAGCCTGGCATTCTGCTTCCAAAACGCTAGAGCCTTTGAGCAGGCCTGCTGTGATGTCTTGGGGTCACCATGAGTGCAAATCAGCTCAACTACTAACAAACAACAGCCTTAGTATGTTGAGAAGCATAGAAAAGCAATATCCAGATCACTTTGGGGTAGTCAAGAAAAGGCTTCAAAAATTTCCTTTTTGAAGTTGGAATATGTTTTAACTATATAACTAAGAAAACCAGGAAAAAAAAAATACATCTTTAGGAACTAAGATTGATGAATTTATTTCTGGTAGGCGACATTATATCCACATGCAAGGTCTTTATGTTTCTTTGAGGCGAAATGAGTATTTTCTGCTTCTGAGCTCCAGATGTTTTACATTGGGAGATGTGAAAGTGATTTGATAGCCATTTTGGTTCCTTTATAGATTGTGGGAGATTTGGCGGTTCTGATGTTCTTGGTTTTGTTTTGGGTTTCCCATCCCCCCCCAAACAAAAGCAATGAATTTAATATGCTGGCATATGTTTCTGTATTACTTACTCCTTAATACGAACAATCATGTTAGGGGAAACCTTTCAGAAAATCTTGTACATTTGGAAACCCAACTACTGAAGGTCATAGGCCAATTTATTGTATATCAAAATGCCATAGCAACTTTAGACAGACAACTTGCCTTGTATTATTGTTTCCTGCAATGAGTGAGCTGGGAATTATTTGGATGACAGGCTGATTACCTTAGGAATGGAATAATTTCCAAATTGTAGGTCAGAAGCTGACCTTTTCTTTTTCTTTTTTTTCATGTTCAAACAATTGAGATCTCGCCATGAGCTCTCCATTCTACTGATCATGTAAATGAACTTAAAATTACTGTAATTTCTCTTAGTATATTAATTTTAGTTCTGATTCTCACTGTTGCCATAATAAGAGCTGCTCAGTTGTTTAAAATGTAGCCTGATCTGTGGTTATTATTTCCATAAAATGAGCTTTGAATACCTTGGGTTTGGTTTTGGGGGTTTCCCCCTCCTCCCTTTCTTTTTCTCATATGTATCCTGACCTTGAACAATCACTTTGTTTGGAAAGGATGAGCGCATGATCTCACCCACTGGAATGGTGTGTAATCATTTTAGTTGTAAAGAGTCATAAATTCATCTTCAATGTGCATGCACAACTTAGACTGTATTAGGTAAAATTGGAGTGCTGGTTGGAAATGCCCGCACACAAAGTATAGCCAGATGTGTCATATAGCAAAATAGCCCAGCCAATTACTTTACAGAGATAGGAGGATGCTGCACAAAATTCATCCAAGTAGACCTTTTCAATTCATCCACTTTTCAAAATGTTCCCCCTGAACTCTAGTGCTTCAGAATGCACCTGTTCCTGTGCTTTTGTTCAAAATGATGTTTGGGCCTGAGGGAGCTGATTTGTGGCACAAAAGGTCTTTAGATGA